GACTCCATCCAGCCACCTCATTCTCTGTCGTCCCCTTCTTCTATTGCCCTCAATCTTTCCCAGCATTAGGCTCTTCTCCAGTGAATCCTTCCTTCTCATTAGGTGGCCAAAGTACTTGAGTTTCAACTTCAGGATCTGGCCTTCTAAAGAGCAGTCAGGGTTGATCTCCTCTAGGACTGACCGGTTTGATCGCCTTGCAATACAGGGGACTTGCACGAGTCTTCTCCAGCACCATAATTCAAAGGCCTCAATTCTTTTGCGCTCAGCCTTTCTTATGATCTTAAAATAGATAAAGTATATTTATTTTGAAATATTATTTTTTGATGAAAGTGTGAACTGGACCTTTTGGGATGCTTTTTGTTTACTATTAGAGAGTGCAAACAATTGGATTTTACGAAACAAAAGTTAAAAGTAATATAAGTTTGACAGTGATGTTGTAATTACGGAGATGCTGATTGTGATGCTGTCTGTAACTATGGAATACCACTTGAGGCAAAAGTATTAAGTGTGCAAGAAGATAAAGTAGAAAAAAGAAGGAATCTTGCCTTTACTCTTTTCTTTTCTTGAGACATTTTCAGTTTTGGATTATAATAGCAACCAACAGAAAAATGGCAAAAATGAAGGAAGAGACAGGATCGCCAGAGCAACTTGCAGAGAGGGGAATTATGCCAGATTTGTTTCAGAAATTTGTTTGAGCAATTGGCTTTATATGACTTATAAAGATAAAAGAGGAGATGAAAGAAGTCAAACAAATGTTGGAAGATGTACAATAAATTAATGACAAAGTGGAAATTTTAAACAGATGTTCTAGACAAAGAGTTGGAAAGAGAACTAGATAATCTAGTTCTATTGGAATTGAGAGAAAAGGATTTTTGTTTGAGATTTATAGAGATCCCAGAGGATTCTGGTGAATATGTTAGAGAAAAGATTATTAAATCTTTAGCAATTTTTTTTTGGATTGGGATGAGGAGGACACAGAGGCAAAAATCAATAAATTATATAAACAAAAAGAAGATTTGTGAAAAAAAGAAATATTCCAAGGGGTGTGTTGATGCGTTTTGTCAGAAAGAAGACAAGGGATCAAGTTTTACATCAGCATTTTAATAAATTTTATTTAAAAAAAATGATTCAAATACACATATTGATTTAGAGGAAAGACAATATCTACATTTATTGCTGGCTGGAAATCTCTTTTGGACTTTTGGCATAAAACAGAAAAAAATGAATGTGTGGTTTGTGGTTTTGACGATTAAACAGGATAGATTATAGAAAAAAGAGACTTACGTAACCATCGAGAGTCAGTTTGGTATAGTGATTAAAGTGCTGATCTAGAACAGGGCTTTTCAACCTTTTCACCCATTGTACCACTTTTAGGATATGGCAACATCCGAGTACCACCAGTCGCTTAGCAAGGTGTCAAAAACTTGATGACCCCCCCCCAAAAAAAAGGAAAAAAGTGATAAAGTACAGGTAGTCCTCAACTTACAACAGTTCACTTAGTGACTGTTCGAAGTTACAATGGCACTGAAAAAAGTGCCCCCCAAGCCACAGCCAAGCAAGACACCTGCCTGCCCGCCCGGCGGCTCTCTTCCTCCTGTCCGAGGTTTTCATTGTTGTGAGCATTTCTGTTGAGGATTGGCAACAGGGGTGGGGTGGGGGAGTGTTTGGTTTTTATTCCCCCTCCCATCTGCTGGGTGGTTGCAGCAGGTTTTGGTCACTTCACGTGACCCTGGGACACTGTGACCGTCATAAATATGAATCAGTTGTCAAGTATCTGAATGTAAATCACAAGACCCTGAAGATGCTGCAACATTCCAGCTGATCGGCGCTTCTTCTGGGCTCAGCAGAAGCATCAGGATCAGCGCCGAGCTCCAGCTGGAGCCTGGTGCTGATCCTGGCGCTTCCGCTGAGCCCTGACAGCCCCAAAGAAGCACCGATCAGCTGGAAAGCAGCACTGATTCTGGCGCTTCCGCTGAGCCCTGACCGCCCTGCAACTCCAGCCATCTCTCTTGCTCAGACTTGTGCGGTGCTGCCACTGATTCAGCTCATTCCCCTCCCCCGCTACCACTTTTCTAGGATGGTCATGTACCACCTGCCAGGTGCCAATGTACCACAGGTGGTACCCGTACCACTGGTTGAAAAGCCCTGATCTAGAAGCTAGGAGATTCTGAGTTTGAGTATTGTCCTAGGCATGAAAGCTGGCTAGGTGACTTTGGGTCAGTCATTCTCTCTTACCTCAATCAACTTCATAGGGTTGTTGTTGGAAAGTAGAAGAGGAAGGAGCATTATGTTTGTTTTTTGTTCCTTTGAGTTACTTATAAATGAATAAAGATGGGATAAAAAAATCTAAAAATTAAATAAGAGGTAAATTTATAACTTCTGTAAAGATTGAAAGCTTCTTTGCAACTTTTTTCTTTTCTATTTTTCTTTTTTCTTTACTTTTGTGCACTTTTAGCTTTCTCTTTGATTTTTTTCTGGTTTTTGTGGCACTCTTCTTGCACTAGGACAGGGGTAGGCAACCTTGGCTCTTTTATGACTCGTGGACTTCAACTCCCAGCATAGCTGGCTCAGGAATTCTGGGAGTTGAAGTCCACGAGTCATAAAAGAGCCAAGGTTGCCTACCCCTGCATTAGGAAGATAATCCAGTTGAAGCAGTGTCTTAGAAATTGTGAGGCAATGATAGTCTGATGTCAAAGAACAGGTTTTTTTTTTATTTCCCCCTTCCTCTGTGCCCTTGCTTATGATTTTTGAGCAAGGTGCAGCTTTTTTATAATGTACTCATTTCTGTAACAGCTACTTCACATTCCCTGAAATACTGAATGTCTGAATGTGATAAAGGGAGAGAGTCCCTCCTCTCTTCCAATTTACAGTTATATTTCCTGTCCCTTAGTTCCTTATTGCACAAGGTGTAGGATTTTTCTCTTCCCAACTTGGAATCTTTGTACATAATAATGTTATGTCTAGGGTTAGGGTTAGAGTTAACAGTGGATAACACTAGCCAAGAATGATAGACTTTTCAGTTAGAATGGCAACTGATTATACATCCTATATCTTTAAATATTTGTATGACTTTTTTGCAGATCTGATGGTGGAATTCATAATAACACACATGATGAAAGAATTTCCCATGGATCTCTATGTGTGAGTAACAACTACATGAAACTAGCCAATTTTAGGAGCTCTTCAAAATTCCAAACAATGATATTTCTGTTCAGTCCATAAAAAAATTAAGAAAAATGATTTGAATCCCCATTTTACTTTTCTAAATTATTTAACATCATATGGTAGTTGCTTATCTCCAAAGGGAACATCATGGTGGGTTACATACAGTTGCATGTAAAAGGGGCTCTCTAGTCAAATTTTATGTTTCAATGCATACCTAAGTGAACAGAAGCTGATATATCCTCTCCATGGTATAAAATTAAACATGACACCTTTCTGGAAAATGGAATGCAGACTTACTATTTGTGTATAGATTATTGAAAAGAAGGAAAAGTGAAGATGGCAGGTGCAGAAGCTTTGACAGCCTTACATTCAGTATTTTTTAATACCACCCTTGGTAGAAAGAATAGCTTCCATGTATTTCCTGTACTACGGCTAGCTAAAACTCTTTTTATTTTTTGCCTTTGGAACTTTTTTCCACTCTACCTATTCCCTACAGATATTCAATGATTTTCATATAACATAATTTTAAGCCATAATGAGTGGATCCTATATCATATTAAGCCTAAATAAACAAGCCACAGTTTAGCATTATGTGTGAACCAGGGTGAGCTTCTAGTAACTCTGAGTATATGATATTGTGATGGATTAGAGTGCTGTAGCTTTTAAACTTCTATTAGTGGGCATAGTTTTTGTTAATCTAAATAATCTGCTTAATGTGCTAAGCCTCAGTTTGTTAATTATGATTTATTGAATAAACAATTATTGATTAAGTTCAGGGGACATGTTAAGCCATAAATCATGATTTGCAAGTATTAATGGTTGGGTTCATGCAATACAAAGAGCCCAAAATAATAAAAATCATATTTTGAATTTGGTGTGAATCCAATTAATATTATATCCGGTTTAGTTGGAAGCACTATTCTTGGTTTGACTGATTTGAATTCCAAATTTAAAAAAAAATGCTGTTAAACATGTTTCATTTTCCTTTTTCTTGGAACCTAGATTATTTATGTGGAATATTAGCCAAGTATTTAATCCACCTTCAGATTTCAGATTTCCAACTAAATACCCCCACATTTAATAACTCCACATCTACCTCCTTCTTTTCTTTCATATGTACCAGTGGTATACTGATATCCTGAATACTGATAATTTGAGTTACTGTTTTACAAATAGTTGGGCATATTAATGTGTTTCAACATTTTCAGCCTTGACCTCACTAGTCGTAGTTCTATATGACACATCCTTTATAGAGCTACTTATTGAAAGTATACACCACTCCCAATTCTTTGCTGCTAATTATGTTGGGGTTCCTTTCTTCTTGCTGCAGATGCTGTATTCAAATAGTACACAAGCTGCTTTGCTACCAGAAAAAGTGCAGAGTGAGACTTCATTACACTTGGAGGGAACTCTGGACAGGTACATTTTTAGTCTTTTAGGCCTGACGTATTTCTTCATAGGGTCAGTGCTTATAGTTTTAAAATAAACGTTAAATAACTTAAATGCAGTGCTAATGTATACTACATTCCAGTACTTGACTGTAGGTGATTTCACCTGAAAACGCAATTTGGAGAGTCGAGAAAAGTAAATTAATATTTTTAAATTCTAGCTTTGTTTTTTGTTGATGCTGAGACTGTTTTCCATGTAGAGAAACCTTTGTATGGGATCCACTGTGATAAGTTTCATATTTTAGAATCGAGATGCTGTAGATGTTCACCTCCACATAGAGCCCCCATTTTGGTGGCAATTCTGTTAGGCTCTTTTTCTCTTTGTGTTTTCAGTGTACTGAATCTGTGTTCTGACAGGAGGAGAGCCATGTTAACCAAATCAGAAGGAGCCTGGTAGCACATTCTCTAACTAATCAATTTTATGAAAAAGCATAAGGTTTTATGAGCTGTGCAGGTATTGGATGAAGTGAGTTGAAGTTCATGAAAGTTTATGCTGTTTCTTAAAATAGATTAGTTGGAAAACGTGCTATCAGACTTTTTCTAATTTTGTATTCTGACATGTTAATATGATATATTTCCTGTTTTCTTATTGTTGGCAACGTATTCAAAGATATGGAAAACTACAGAGGCATGCAAGCAGGTCTTTGCATAGCAATTCTGCCATACACTATGCTCAGAATGGATGTTTTGCAAGTGAGATGGGGGATGTTAAAGCTTAATTCTCAGAGATTAGCATGTATTTTGGAAATGAGCTAGATTGCACCAGTAGTCTTATCTAGTCTCTTATTTGCGTCATTGTTCCTTGCTATGGAACAAGATTTTGAGTACAACTAACTGTTGTGTCTTTACAAAAGTCTTCCATGACTTAACTAAGTTTTTCTCAAAAAGCTCAGACATGCTGCCTTATGTTTAAGGAACTGTACATTATACTTGTAATTTAGGTTTTGAATTAATTTCTTCCTGGTAGTGCTGTTGGAAAGCTTTGTTCTTAAAAATACTGTGGATAGCTGGCTAGCAGTCTCCCTTATGGGAACTCTGTACAAATAGATGAAACTGCTGCTATTTTCTGATCCCACATAAGTTAATTAATATTTCTTTTTGTGAATATTTCCTTTAACAAATTTCTAAATGTATTCTGTGCATATTATTGGCAAGCTAGTTGATAGAACTGATGTTTGAACTGGATTTTCTGAGAACTCTATAATTGTTGCCTCCTAGTCCCTGCTGCCCTCTGTTAATTGCCTTAGGATAATGATATAACTGATGAGAGAATGTTGCATCACATAGTTCACATCTCTAAGTATTAGAGATAAAAAGTATAAGATGTGTAAGATATAAGATAAATATATCTTATATCTGCTATATTTAATGCTACCTAAAGTAGTTTTTGCAGAATCTAGTTCTGAGTTAAAGCTAAGTGAATGTTTACTTTATACAATAAATATGTGGGTAGTATAGAATAATGAAATAATAGGATTTAATAGCCATAGGACAAAAATTGTCTATATCTAGAAAATTGGATGTGGATTTTCCTTTTGTGTCTCATTGTTCAAATTCATAATAGTCTGTAGAATACTGGATTTAAGTACTATTCCATTTCTCTCTAAAAAGTTGGTATCCTATCGTTTCCTTCATCAGAAAGTATGGATTGTGCTAACTTTATTCATCATTACTTAATTACCAAGGTTCAAAACACTTCATAGCATTTGTCTTGGAGTGATGAAAGGATAAAATTCTGACATCTTAGTTACGCTCATTGAGCAGTGGCCTAATTCTGAGTCATTGAGTCTAGTTTGGCCAAGAAGAATCTAGATCAGAGATGATTGACTTTGGTTGTTTGGATGGTTGCACTAAGCTTTGCATGCAGATAGTACTGTACCTACCTGAATCCTAAGAACATCTAATGAGACCCTCTATCAGGTTTCCTCACCAAATGAGGTGAGGTGAGTCTCTACAAAGGAGGGCCAGAGCTTTTTCTGTTGTATACCCCATTTATCAAATTCCCTCCTAGAGAGGCTTGACTAGCATCCATCTTAGCATTGTTTTAATTACAGGTGGAAAACCATTTTATTTTTCCAGGCTTTTAGATGGCTTTTAATTGTGCTTTAATTGCATTTAAAGATTTATGTAGTGTTTTTTATTTTGCATTTTATTGTATATGTTTTTATTCAAATTGTTTGTGTGCACGTGTGCGTGTGTGTGTGTATGAGTGTGATTTCTTGTAAATGGAATTTTGGTTATAAAAAGTTTAAATAAGTGATTGAGACCTGCATCCCTCTACCAAATAACTGCAGATTGTATAACCATCACTACCCTTCAAGTTAGAACTAATTGAACGTAGGATATTGTGTGCATCAGCAGGTGGATCGTTTACTTGTTTGATTAAATATATTGTGTAAACTCATTCTACTTGTTTGTTTCCTGACGTAATGAAATTTAGTTTTGAAACCCTAATTCAAAAAATGGTCTCAGACTGTTAGCCCTAGCTTAATCTACTGTCAATATTTTCTTTCTAGCTTAATTCCAAATACTAGCTTTAAACTGCTAAGAACCCAATATTTAAATAGGTATTTTTTATTCTGTATAATAAGAGTGTTCAGTTGTCCTTTAGAAATGGCCCTAATTTGTTTGCCCTCTACTAATATATGGAAGTAGATCGCTCATCATCTTCACCAGGATCTTTGGCATCTTTTTGAAGCTCTGTTAGTTGTAGAGAATGCCTGCTGGGAAGTGAAGGGATCTAATGCTAGAAGTGCAACTTTTCAGTACACTTGGAATAGTCTCCCAAAGGATATCAGATTAGCCCCTCCCTAATGAATTTTTAGATGGATGTTAACAGTTGACCTGACTAATAAAGCAACTAGTCCTCATCCTAAAACACTAATCTATCGGTAATAAAGATTTTTAAATCCCTCTTACAGGCTCCTTTAGGAACTATGGGGCTAAAATTCATAAAAGACTGGAATCTGGAAACCATCACCCTAGAGCAGGGGTGTCAAAACTGCTGGCCCGCGGGCCGGACAAGTCATGTGGAAGCCACGCCCACCCCATTGCCAGCAATGGCAAAACCGGCTCGATACGTTGCGCGACGTCACGTGACGTCGCGAGTTTGACATGTCTGCCCTAGAGGGAATAATAGGAAGAAGGCCCTGTTTAGAGCAACTTAAAGAGAGAATCCCAGGGAGAAATAAAGGCAGACAGATATTTGTGGGGGATTGTGATTGGCGGAGGCCTTGAAATACAAGGACCAGTAATTTGGTTTGACTCAAATGGGGCTCAATACAGGCCTTGCTTTGTACTGAGACATGAGAATAGAGTTCTGAGCTAAGATCAGGAGATAAGAGGAATCAGGAATATCTGCCAGGAGACTGACGGTTAGGTATAAAACAATCAAGGTGCTTTACAATCTCTTCCATTAGAAAACCCCCAGATCCTTGAAAAATTTATCAGGTAGAAGTTTATTCACATAGTTGTGGGACTAGTCCATTGTTTGATTGTGAATTGCTTTAGATATTTTATTCTAATCAGAAAGCAACATTTAACAAATTGGAATAAATAGCAATGTGTCATCATAGAAACTGTTTTGGCTAGCCTCAGTATTGACTCTGATATTTTCCGCTGGCTTCTGTATCAGCAGAATTTCCAATCTGTTCTAATATTTCCACTGCGAGGGTAAGATTTATAGAAACAAGAAAAAGCAAAAAAGGGTTTAGACAGCGTACAGCTACTGTAGTTCTCAATTTATTACCACAATAGAATTCTGAATTTTGGTTGTCAGTTATTGCATTCATAAATCAAGAGGCCACATGACTGGCCTCAATTTTGTGATCATTTATATGACAGTCATAAAGCAAATCACTGCAGTCATTAAGCAAATCCAGTATACCAAGGAGTAATTTTTGGCATTTTCTATCAAAAGGAATTAAAAAATGTTGAAATCTCAGTCACATGACTGCAGCATGCTGCAACTGGTCTTGCAAGCCAGTTGTCAATCACCCAAATGTGATCACATGACCGTAGGGCTGTATGTTGTAGTTATAATTTCAAGGACAGGTTGTAAGTTATTTTTGAAGTCCATCATAATTTTGAGCGATTGTTATGCAACCAGTTGTAAGCTGAGGACTATCTGTAGTTTGAAGCACTCTAGAACATGATATCTAGCACGTTTCATGTAATAAAAGCTACAGTTAAGCCAGGGCTTCAATTAGTTTTATTGCTTTCATGGAAGCCCAATATACCAGATTATCTATGGAGTTGCTGGTTCAGTTGCATTTTACATGCAGCAGTAAAGTTTCACATTTATGTATGTCATTTTCTTACACTTATATGGTGACCCATAACAAAGGTACCTTTTTCCTATCTAAGGTATATGCTAAGTGTGTCTCAGCTTTTGCTTATAAGATATGTTTGGATGTGTTGTTTTAAAATTAGTTCTCAACTCACTTTTGGCAAAATGTCTTTGCTTTCTTGATCAATTAACAATCAGCCTGCCAGTGTAAACTGTTGTTGTTGTTGTTAGTTGCGAAGTTTGTCCGACCCATCGTGACCCCATGGGCAACGTTCCTCCAGGCCTTCCTGTCCTCTACCATCTTCTGGAGTCCATTTAAGCTCATGCCTACTGTTTCAGTGACTCCATCCAGCCACCTCATTCTCTGTCGTCCCCTTCTTCTATTGCCCTCAATCTTTCCCAGCATTAGGCTCTTCTCCAGTGAGTCCTTCCTTCTCATTAGGTGGCCAAAGTACTTGAGTTTCAACTTCATGATCTGGCCTTCTAAAGAGGAGTCAGGGTTGATCTCCTCTAGGACTGACCGGTTTGATCGCTTTGCAGTCCAGGGGACTCGCAGGAGTCTTCTCCAGCACCATAGTTCAAAGGCCTCAATTCTTTGGCGCTCAGCCTTTCTTATGGTCCAACTTTCACAGCCATACATTGCAACTGGGAAAACCATAGCCTTGACTATACGTACTTTTGTT